CCATTTTATTTCTCCCTTTGACTGATTTCAATTTCAAAGGTATTTTGCCCTGGTATTTCCCCCTCATAGTTACACCTGTGTTAAAGTTGCTGCTTCTGTGATAGATGCCCCAATATTCTTTCCTTCAACCTTTGAGGTAGAGACTCTAACCTTTTAGTGGGGGTATCATGAAGAACGGGAGTTCCCTAACTCTTGGTCACCTCCAGCTGGATTTTAAACTGTAATTCTGGGTTAAGGCAGATTGGAAATACTGGCAACCTGCCTGTCCCATTAAGAAGCCTTATCCATTTCTTGCGAACCATACCCACCTGGAATAGAGCTTCTGGCAAAAAGACCTGTGGAGAGGGAGGGAGCAGGTGGTGGCTCAAATACCAGAGGATCTCATTTCTTTCCACAATTTAGTAAATTTTATTGAATAGATGCTTCTTCATTTGCTCTATGTATTTGACACAATTTCCAGATACTCTAAATATTTATTTGTTTTTTAAACTCAGTAGTGTACTTGCTTCACTGGGAAGGATATTCTGAGTTTTTCATACTGGTATCCTGTAAGTGAACTCCTCAATCATCAAATATTTTGCACTAAAATTTTCATCAAAATTTAAATCATAGGACATAATAACACAAAACTAAATGTCCAACAGAAAAAAAATAGTGAAATAAAGGCTCAAACTGCTCAAATAAAGGTTTTAATTAAGTTGTATAGGATCATTTAAAAAGTCCATATTAAATATAGTGTGAACTTAATTACACCAAATGTGTTTTTATATATGAAATATTTGTATAGATCATATTTAGAAATAATAAGCCAAATAAACAGTAGTTACCTGTGTGTTGTGAAATTACATATTATTTTTCATATTAGTTATAGTGTTCAAGGCTTGCCACGTTTTCAACCATGCTCATGAATTTTTCAAATCACAAAATATCAAAGCTATTTAAGAAGAAATTCTAAATAAAATCATTAATAACATAGGAGAATGCTTACAGTGTGCTAAATTTGAAAGGCATACAGCTAACTACTGTTAAGTATGATTACAGTTCTGTGGAAATATATGGGTGTACATGCAAAAAATAAAAATCCTGCAAAATATATGCTATGTTTATAATTAAATAAGAAAAATTTATTGAATACCTTGAATATCACAAGATTGGGGATAGTTTTAACAGGTTTTCATTTTCCAAATTTTATAAAATTAATGTATATTAGTGTTGAATGACAATACAAATAATTATAATCCACTACCATCAACATTAAATGGAATGAAAATATAACTTAGAGAAGAAATAATATTATCTAAGACAACTGTGAAGAATTGGTCTTAGTTGAAATTAAAGAAAGCATGTTTAAAACTATATATCATTATTCTTCAGTTGGCTTTGCAAAAGAAGGCTAATAAGAAGATGGCTCTAAATTCCAAAGCATCTGTGAAACAAGACTTTTCTTCAACTTGTGCTAAATTAATATATTTTTTTTAAGAACAAAGGCAAGGGAAGAGCAGATTGTAGCACTTCCATGGAGCAACACAGCCCCTAAATGTTGATCCTGACAGGAACATAAAAAGGCATTGTATGCAAGATGATTTTGTACTTTTACACCATTGAAACATATGCTAAGAAACCTAAGAAGGCTGAATGAAAGGGAGGAAAAGTGGTTCTTTATACCCATTCCATTAGTATTCCAACATCCCTGGAACCAAAGAAATAACGCAGGTAAGGCATTCATTCAACCAGTAAATGTTGAGCATATTGTATATTATATATCAGGCACTGTTTTGGGTACAGGAAAGTAAGTAATGAATATGACAGACAAGGTGCATTTGTCATGGTAATTGAATTCTATTTGAGAAACTACATAATTTCAAATAATAAGTGTTTGAAGAAAATAAATAGGGGTAATATGTGAAGTGTGATGAGGTATTAAAATTATTCTGACACTTGGTAAAATGGTAAGGAAGACTTTATTCAAGACTATATGATAAGGAAGAGAGATTGGGCCCAAGTCTAAATAAGCAAAGACAGCTGGGTATTTATAGCCAATGAGCAGAGTGATCTGGTCAATAGATGGGAAATTATTGAAAAGACTTCAAGGGTAGGGGATTATTGCTAAATTGGCCTAACAGGATTATTTGTAAAGGCAGGCAAAGGGTTTATACATCAAAGCTGGGAGGTGAGAAACGTAATCAGATATTAGGGGTGATCAGAAATGAAGGGTTGGGGATTTTTGCTAAACTGACTGAGCTGGGTTGTTTGCTAAGACAGATCTGGGCAGGCCAAAGACAGGACTGTGGCCAATGTTGCAGTTTAGCAGAAAAGACCATTCAGAGGATCTGAGTACAGTTTGCCCAAGGAGAGAAACATATGAAAAATAATATATAATTTCACAACACACAGATAACTATGTGAGAGGGTAATTCTTCTACATAGGCTTCACTGAGAAGGTGATATTTAAACTGAGATCTGAATGACAAGAGGGAACAAGTTATGCAAAGATCCAAGGGCAGAGCATTCCAGGCAGAAGGTACAGCAATTGTAAAAGCTTTTCAATGGAAGCCATTTTGACATATTCCCAAGAAACAGAAAGAAAGTTATAGTAGCAAAAGCATATTGAACCAAGGGCCTAGTAGCAGACTGAAATCTGGAAATGTGTTTAGGAGTCTGACCTGCCCTATCCAGATATTCTATTGGATGCAGTAATACATAAAAACTCTGCTAGTATACAGCTCTGCCTCCTATTTATGTTGTTATTGCTAAAAATAAAATGTTTATACATTCTATGCCTATTAATATAGATTTCTAATTATTATTTTATGTGTGTTATTTTAAATTGTATGGGGGAAAATGAGTTGGAGAACAAAAATAAAAAAATACAGAGTTTTGTATTTAACTATATAGTTACCTTTACCAGTTTTCTTTATTTCTTCATATGGCTTCAGTTTTTCTCTTGCTTTTTCTTTTGCACCTAAATAACTATCATTTATAGGGCTGGCCTACTGTCAATGATTTGTTCAATTATTGCTCTTTTTGGAATTTCTTAATTTATTCTTCACTTTTGAAAAATAACTTCTGATACATAATTCTTGGTTGAAAAGTTTTTTTTCTTTCAGCATTTTAAACATGCCATCCCATCCCACTGCCTTCTACCCTCCATGGCTTCTGAGGAGAAGCTGCCTGTTAATCTTAATGAAGTTCTATTATGTGTAATGAGTCCTTTTTTTTTTTGAGAGGGCATCTCTCATATTTATTGATCAAATGGTTGTTAACAACAATAAAAATCTGTATAGGGGGGTCAATGCACAATCATTAATCAACCTGACGCCTAATTCTCAACAGTCTTCAATCTTCTGAAGCATAACGAACAAGTTCTTACATAGTGAATAAGTTCTTACATGGTAATAAATCCTTTTTATCTTGATGCTTTGTAGATTCTCTTTTATGTTGACTTTTGACAATTTGATTATACTGTGTTTTGGAGTGGACTTATTTGAGTTTATCTTCCTTGGAATTCATTGAGCTTCTTGGACATGTGGATTCATGTATTTCATCAAATTTTTTGGCCATTATTTCTTCAAATATTTGTGCTCCTTACTCCCTCTCCTTCAGGACTCCAATTCTGCCTATGTTGGTATGTTTGATGGTGTTCCACAGGCCTCATAGGCTGTTACTTTTTTTTCTTCCTTTTTTTGTTCTATTGTAAACTGCATAATCTCAAATAACCTAGCTTCAAATTCACTTATTCTGCCTGCTGAAATCTGATGTTTAACCCCTGTAGTGATTTTTGTCTTTCATTTCAGTCATTGTATTTTTCAGCTGTACATTTATATTTGGTTTTCTTTTATAAGTCTCTCTATTTATTGATATTCTCTATTTGGTAAGATGTCATTCTCCTGATTCCCTTTAGTTCTTTGTCCATGGTTTCATCTAGCTCTTTGAGCATATTTATGATACTTGATTTAAATTCTTTGTTTAATAAGTCCCATGTCTGTGTTTCCTAAGGGACAATTTCTATTAATTTATATTTTCTTATAAATGAGACATTTTCTTGTTTCTTTGTACACTTCAAAATTTTTGTCAAAAAAGGACATTTTGAATATTATATTGTGTATTAGTAAGGGTTATGCAGAGAAACAGGACCAATAGGGGATGTATATGATTTTTTTAATAGGAAAAGGCTCATGTAATTATGGAGCCTGAAATTCCTATGATCTGGCATCCTCGAACTGAAAAACTAGGAATGCTGGTGATATGTCCATATGTGTCTGAAAGCCTGAGAACCAGAAGAGCCAATGGTGTAGATCCCTGTCCACATCAAACTGCCCAAAGACCATGAGCACTGGTGTCCAACGGCATGAGAATATGGATTTACCAACTCAAGCAAAAAGAGCAAATTTATTCTTCCTCTACCTTTTGGTTCTATTCTCAACATATTGCATGATACCCACTTGCATTGGTAAGGGCAATCTTTTTTACTCTATTGATTCAAATATTACTCTCTCCAAGAAATACCCTCACAAACACATCCAGAATAATATTTTACCAGCTGATTAGGCATTTGTTAGCTAAGTCAACTGGATACATTAAATTAACCATCGTATGTCGTCACTCTGAAATTAGTCTCCCTTGCCTTTGTGTTTTTCCCTTTCCTGCTGTAGATTATAAATGTTCATTTTTTAGTTATTTTTCTAATTTTTTTTGGTAAAGACTGTATTATTTGTCAGGTATACTCATTGAGGCATCTATTTCATTAGGTTAATGGTCAGCTCATGACATAAGATGTTTCCTTAAATGCCTGTAGCAAAAAACTCCCCAGTCTTTGCATATTAGTTCTGTGTTGCAGCATTCCTTCAATGGTTAGCCAGGCTCTTTAGCACTCTACATTTGACTTCACTTCTTGCTTGCATGGAGCATAAAGTTCAGCCACAGGTGAAAATTTTATGTCCTATGAATTCTTTAAAAAACATGAATGTAGGCCTGGCATGCCCTGTGCTGGTGAAGTCAAGATGGAGGAGTACGCACGGGAGCCGTGCCCCTGGCGAATTGTGGATGACTGTGGTGGGGCCTTTATGATGGGTACCATAGGTGGTGGGATCTTTCAAGCAATCAAAGGTTTTCGAAACTCTAGTGGGAGTAAACCACAGACTACGAGGGAGTTTGACAGCTATTAAAACCAGAGCTCCACAGTTGGGAGGTAGTTTTGCAGTTTGGGGAGGTCTGTTTTCTATGATTGACTGCAGTATGGTTCAGGTCAGAGGGAAGGAAGATCCCTGGAACTCCATCACCAGTGGTGTCTTAACAGGAGCCATACTGGCAGCAAGAAATGGACCAGTGGCCATGGTTGGGTCAGCAGCGATGGGTGGCATTCTCCTAGCTTTAATTGAAGGAGCTGGTATCTTGTTGACAAGATTCGCATCTGCACAATTTCCCAATGGTCCACAGTTTGCTGAAGACCCCTCCCAGTTGCCTTCAAGCCAGTTACCATCCTCACCTTTTGGAGACTATCGACAATATCAATAGGACTTCTTTCCCAGGATTTCTTCAACAGAACGAGCTGTAGTTCAAGAAAGGATGTCAAAAGATCAGGTTACAGTCTGTTTTCAAAACTATAGATGGGAAAACTATGGTCAAATAGGCAATGAAGAGACATTTAACACTTTTCTATTTAAAGGAACATGGGGGGATGGGATATAAAAAATAATACATTTATTTATTCACACTGGGATTGCATTTGTGATGAAAATAAATGTCTCTAATATTACGAGTACTCAGAAGATGAAGGACCAAAGGGCAAACCGCAGTGAAACATGACCATTTCCTTGGCAGCAGCTGTGCCTGGTTTGTGTGTTCTGCTAGTCAAACAATAAAATACTCCTGGAACTTGCTCTTTTAAGCTTAAAAAAAAACAAAAACCATGAATGTAGTCCTGGGCTTGTGTTTAGACTTCTAGATACACCAGTAGACACGGAAGCTTTACAAAGCCCTTATTTCCTAATGTATCTCCTCCCCTCACTTTCTTCCTCAGGCTTTTTGGTCTGTATACTGCTTAGTCTTATTCCTTGTCCATGGTTGCTGTGGCCAGTGTATTTGTCTGTTAATGCTTTAGACAAATGCCACCTGTGAGCTGAGACAGCTTTGAGGTGGATATAAAACAAAGCAAGCCCCTGAGCCAGTCCCTCATGGAGCCTCCAGACAGGTCAAAATACACAATCACAATTCTTTGAGAACAAGGTACATGTTTCCCTCCTTGGCACCAGAAATCTGCACCAGTGTGCAGTCCATTGTTTTCATGGCTGCTGCCAAGCTTGACGAATAGGGTATGATATTCAGGTAAGTTAAAATGCCACAATGTTTTCTTACTGAAATTCAGTAGCGTCTTTCTTCATTAAACATTATCCTGGTTGTTGTTAAGTTTTTGAGTCATTTTCAGAGTTCTTAAAAATGTTGATTCTAACAGTTTTTGCATGGTTGATTGCTGCTCTATTTGAGAGATGGAGTTTGGCAATTCCCTGCTCCATCATTTCCAGTAATATTCTACAGTTGATGACAATTGGATTTTGCAACATTGAAGTCACTAATTACCTTAGAAAGAAGTAGGGATGAAACAACTTATCTATTGGGACAGGATAGGAAGAATATTAAATGGGTAATAATGAAGGAAGCTTTGGTGGTAGGAAAATTATATATTATATTCTTATCAGTTCTATTTTTCTCAGTAAAATAAGTATTAACATCACCAGTTGAAAGCGAGGGCCAGGATCGAAGGATATTAAGTTTGAGGAGAAATATGAAATAGCCTTCTTAGAGAGTGGGAAACAAAAGATTTATTAAGATGATGTATATTTTTAGAGGATAAAGATGGGATCTTTTTTTTATTAAAACTGACATTAAAAATTATATGCACTAATTTTTAAAATTCATTTCAGTCAAGAAATTATTGAATACCTATTATGTAAAAAGCATTGATTTAAACTAACAAACTGGTTTACAATGATATTACAGATATAAAGTCCTTTAAATATCACTATTTAAAATATATCTTCCTTTCTGTGGTACACACACACACACAAAGATGTACTTTCAAATTGTTTTTCATTTTCAGAATACCTTATTTAAAAAGCAGAATAAATTATGATAATGCTATTTCTAATGCATTAAGTATTTCAAAATTCACTGTAATATTTGAAGAATACTTGCTGTAAAGTGGACTCACATGAAAATAAACCTTGCTTTCAAAGTCAGTGTGGATAAATACATATCCATTTAATTGTTTTCAGTGTAGTTACACATGTACATAAAAAACTAAAATGACAGGGATCAGAGGAGTTTTTCATGGCAGGTGATGTGTTGCTCTGGATCCTGCTTCTCTTGAATTTCTGAGCAGGGCTTGTTTGAGGGCACTAATTTTCTCAAGTTTAGCCAGTTGAATAGTTCTGTTGAAGTGGTTGAACTTTTCTTCTTTTCCCACAAATGTTTAGAAAGTGAACATATTCTGGAGAGATGCCTTCCAGTTCAAGGATTTTATCCTCAAGTTTTTAAATTCTCTTATAAATATTTCTTGGCCCTGGACCACCTGTCTGTAATTTCAAGCTAGCCTCAATATTTTGCAGTCGTTCTTCTACAGCTTGATTCCCACAATCTCAGAGGATGCTGTTAGGGTTGTGACTTGACCCTTGAATTCTTCCTGGTCTAATCTGTGGTCTGTATGTATTCACAACTCTGGAAACTTACACGACTTTTAAATTCAGGGTAAGGGGTAAAAATGGCATCTGTTCTTGCACAACTATTTTCTTGGTTACAATCAATAACATTACAAAATTCTATGACATTGTTTTCATTAATTTCAGATTACTTTCTTTCAATTAGTGCAGGTATTCATCTGTCAATTTCTGCTTTTCCAGCCTTTATTGAGCTATTTCTGGATCAAAATGGATCTGTGCCTTTTTCACATCTCCTAAATCACAATTATCATGCTTTTCTTCCTCTTTCTGGTCACCAATGGGAAATTTGTCAATTACTTCGTTCTTGTCTCCTGTTTCTATTTTCCCTATCTTTTCAACAATACTTGTATTCCTCTCTTTAATTAGAGGCTGAAGTTATGCTAAAAAAGGCTGTAAATATAAAATGTGTTACTCAAGTGCTCTAAAGAGCAAAGAGGGATGGAATGCCAAGAGGCTCTGGAGCTTGTTACAATTGATTGTAATTTTCACCACATCATCTCTGAGGTTAAGCTTCAAAGGGGCAAACCAGAAATTGTTCGGCCAGGGTATGCAGGGAGCAAGAGATTTTACAGAGCACCTCTTGGGAGATGTTGGGGCTGCAGCTCCACTCCAGGCTACTGTCACAGATGCTTGGGAGTTTAAGCTCAGTGACAGCAGCCATGACACCTTTGCAGGCAACCCCTGCTACTCTTAGGTGCTCCCAAAATGCCATCCCCTTTATCCCCTGCATTCCTAAGGTGATGTATTATTATTGCCAGGGTATACCTATTTGAAATTTGTGAACATGAATTTGAAGTGTGAAAAATCAGTAGAATTGTCTGATTCTCATCAGCAATGTTTGGGTATATACCTGGAGAAGGCAGACTGTTAAGACTGACTTAGGTTATGAGTCATAAATGTAGTATAATGTAGAGAAAGAGAGGTAATTATGTTGAGATTGTTTGCCAAGGAATGATTATAATTATGGACAATGGAATTTAAGCTAGAAGAGAATGAGGAGGACATAAAAAGAATAATTAATAGTATAAATTAGTGGGAGTCAGTGGATCAGAGGTCCTGATGTGGAGTGACAATTTTTGAAGTTGAGGGTTGCTACAATAAATAAGTCAGAAGGTTACAACATGGTGGCTAGAGTGGCAGTTACATTGGTGTGAATGACTGATGAAGGTGAAGGATCATGGGTGTGAGGGCAGAAAACCAAGAAGACAGAGGTTACCCAGATTATATTTGTGAATTTTGGTGTCATCAAATTAATGACAGAAGTACTGGTGGTGAGAAAGGCTGGAGGTCTAAGGCTAAAGTCTTTAATGAATAAGAGGGAATGACTGGGAAATATGTGGATGATGATTAAAAGGAGGGATAGTGTGTAGTTCCTCTTATGGTGTGCCTCAATGAAGTAGCAACCAGAGAATGGGTCTAGGTACATATATTCATGTTAGAAGGACTCCCTAGGCATCCCCATACATAAGCACTGAGACAATTTTATGGATAATATCTTTTGTTGTAATTGGTGAAGGGCATGAAATAAATGAAAGAGAGAAAGGGTGAGCTATGGTGTCCATTCTAAATGGTTTCAAGGAATATCTACAGCTACCTGAGTAGTGTGCAGATGAACAGTACCCCTAATCCTTAGCAATCTATGACTATAGCAGTGATGGGGGCTGTATCAACCACAGTATACCTTATAAAACTTCTTGAGATCTGGATTATGTGTATATGATGAAAAGGGGGAGGGAGACAGAAGGAATGTGGCTACAGGTGTTGAGGTTCTCTGAGGTCTGACTTATTTCTCTGGGCCCCATGCTGTTTTACAGATGATTTGTGCTGCTGTTGCTATTGTTCTGCTGGGGTATTTTTCTTACAGCTTCTGAAATCCAGATATTTTTTGATTGGGAATAGCCATCTTTGCTTCACCAGCATAATATTTTCATTCTTTTTTTGCCCAGTACATTCTATAAACGGGTTTTAATCACCTCTTATTTACCCCATTGTTGAAGAAAGAATTCCTACCCTAGGGTTATGGTGATGGTTGGACATATGACACCTATTCCTGGAGAGATGAGCCTGACAGCAAATTGTTAGTCTCATATACTCACATACTGGAGGAAAATGGACACCACATGCCATGGAGGGCCACATGAGGTATGCACTTGGAAACACAGTGTACAACCAGGAGCTGTGGAAGGCAGGCTGTGTAGTATCAAGCGTTAGGGGGTGACATGGTTCCTGTGGAACGATTTGATTGACTTATTTGAATAATTCTGTGGGTTGTAAGGGAACTAAACCTGTTACTCAGGGATAAGAAGGAACTGTGCCTGGTCCCATAAGAAGGGATTTTTACGTAGGGGAGCTTATCCAGAGAACAAAGGGGAGAGTGGAACTTGTACTTGGGCAATTTGAGATCCACCTGATTTCACCAGATGTGAAGGCAGCAAATAATATTGGGGCTTAATTTTATATATGTCATAAAAGTCTAAGAAGCAATCATAAAAGCTGAAGTTGGAAAAAAAACAGAAAGAAAGAGCAACCAACAGGCTGCCAGGGTCTGTCAGGCAGAGGCTTTCAACATGCTATTCTTTCAATGGATCAGTTCCTATGATTATATTCCGAGACATGGAGCCTCTCTTCAGGACACAGTTTCTAGAAAATTTTCCCCATTTACTATAAAATTTAATGTCATACATAACAATTGAGCAGCTATAAAATGTTTTGACAATTAATTATTTATTTTTTAAATTATGATATCATTAATATACAATCCCATGGGCAACATTGTGGTTGCTAGATTCCCCCATCACCAAGTCCCCACCACATACCCCATCAGTCACTCTCCATCAGCATAGTAAGATGCTATAGACTCACTACTTGTATTCTGTGTTATACTGTCTTTCCTGTGTCTCCCCCTACATGATGTATGCTAATCGTAATGCCCTTAATTCTCTTAGCCCTCTG